AGAGAGGGTAATCAAGCATTGGAACAGCCTACCCAGAGAGGTGGTGGATTCACCATCCCTGGAGGTTTTCAAGCAGAGATTGGATGTGGCCCTTAGTGCCATGATATAGTAATTGGAGTTGGATCAGGGGTTGGACTTGATGATCTTGGAGGTCTTTTCCAACCCAATCTATTCTATGATTCTATGATTCTATGATACTACAGATGGTTTAGCCAGTGTAATTTTTTACATATTTGAGCCATAATACCCAGAGTAACATGCAGTCCATAAAAAATGAGACAGTATCTTCAAATTTTCATACCTTTTTTGATTCCTAAACTCCTGTTGCTCCCACCACAGAGAGGATCATGGCAATATGGATGTATGTGCTCATGATGTGACTGCTGTGATGCTTTCATCCAACTTCCTGAGTTGTGTTTTATAACAGTGGACAATAAAAATGCCAAATACTTTGTCTCTTTCTGCCTAGGTGTATAACTTGCTGCCGGTGAAGGAATTGAATGGCTATCAGCATGATCTAAACATGCTCTTTGAGGATCCCCTGGACAATTGCACTCCCATGAAGCAAATAGTTGTGGATGGGATCACCTATGTTCCAGTAACAGGGAGGAATGAAGATGACACTTATAGCATCCTAAAGGTATAACCCTCTTGTGTGGTTAGGGAGTGGAGTGGGAGAATGGCTGAGAATGCCTAAGCCTTCTGTGGCATCATGCAATGTCACAAGGGAAGGCTTTGTGAATCTGAATGATCTGACACTAATTTTTATCCAGAGGCACGCTCAGTGAGAGTCATAGACCTTACTTGTCTTGCCAGCTTTGCTCTGCTGGAAAAGGAAGCAGTCTCAAAGTTATCTTCTCACAGGAAAAGCTTTGAGGTTGACTTGAAATGACATTCTAACTAAGGATAAATAATTCCATGCCATTAGTTACCTTGAATAAATCAATATGCCCTTGAGCTGCACTGTCGTCACAGACATTTCCTTCCAGAGAGAAAACTCTATATCTACTCCCTGGCTCATCCTGACCCCTAGACTAGACTTGGACTGGAACCTGTGTCCCAGAAACAGAGGGGATATATCCTTTAGTCTCTCTGAGCCACCCAGGCACTCAGACCCAAGGTCTGGGGGATTGTGTCAAGGTCCAATCCACACACAGTAGCAACTTTTCCATTTTGAGACAGTCAGGTCTGCTGTGTAAACCTCAACAGGATTCAGCAATAAAAAAATGTGTTTGGTTTCTCTCCCATAGGCTATGGGTTTAAAGGTTTTCACAAATACCAGGGTGAGGAAACCTTGGTACTGCAGCCCTGTAAATTACGGCTACTCCGTCCTTCCAGAAGCCGGCCTTGCAGCAGGCGCACCTGGAGCACCTATGTATGCAATGAGGACAAGTGGTAAAGGAACTGGGTTTTGCTATCACTTCTCTTCTGAACGGAGAGCTTGTTTGTATTTCAGGGTGAATCCTTAAACAAGAGCTGGGGTTGGGAATTGAAACCTTGGAAAGTAGTATTGAACTGATGCATTCACAGATTTCAGGTTCTGTTTGGGTTTTAGTGGGTTCTGAAGGTCTACAGACAAACTTTGATAACTCCACATTAGAAGTCAGCAGAACCAGGCAGTTTTCAAAGACTCTGGCAGAGCAGAGGGTATTATTCTGCTGCTGAATTCTCTCTGAAAGCCTAATGAATTCATTAGGCTTTTACAGTAGACTCCTTTTCCCAGATTATCATTTAAAGAACCTCCAATACCATTTTCAGGCTGTTCTCATTGACACTGAGCCAGTTTTATGTAGGGTCAAAACCACGAAGTGGGTGACAAATTTTTCAGTGATAAATTGGTAGACCTTGGGAATGATAAGATATGTGTGGTAGAAGTTCAGTCTGACATGGACCCATTCTATTTCTAAGGGCTATCTCAACTCTAACTCTGTAACTGTTTGGGCAACAGAATTGGCCTTACCATTCTTCATAGTCTCATATAAAGGGAAATATCTGAGAAATTACAAGTTATTCTATATGGATAACTGATTCAGAGTTTTCCCTTGGCACAAGAACCTGTGCTTTTGTAGATGTCCAGTTTGAAAACAATTTCAACTTCTGACATAAGTTGCTAAGATACAGGATAGATGCTTTTTAAATATTGTAAACTGAAATAGGCAGCAGTAAGAAGACTGAAATACCACAAGAGACAAATAAAAGCAAGCCACCTGTCACTTGCTAGGAGCTATGTGATATACCTCTGATAGATTTTTTCAATTGAACCCTAAGACCTTCTTGGGTTCTGGAGGTGCCTGTTTCACAAATAGTAGGAATATTTGTTAGCTACACAATTGTTATCCAAATGCAGAAATAATTTAACCAAAGTAAAGATGACCAAACTAAGAATTTTTCTTGTGTATCTGTTTGGATACATTTTTCTTTCTGATTGTAAAAGCCAGGCAAAGCAAGTCCCACCCACCCATCTTCGTTTTCCAGTTTTTCAAAACCGAAGTAAAACAGTTTTTTTACCAAATTTCATCCCAAACACAGAATATTCCATTGAGAATAATTTTTGTATGTGAAAACTTTGTTTTAGTCAAAATAGTCCTTTTTACCCTTCCCAAATTTCAGCTGCATGTTTTTACTTTGAGCATCTTCATCCTAGTTCTTGAGGAGATCATAGCTTTGGCAGGAAGGTGGTTTTCTGAGTCACAATGACCCTGCAAAAAAAGCTGCAACAGAGGGATGTTCGATTGCTAGCTGGCCTGTTAGGATGGAGGAGATGGTGACATCAAGGCTGTACCTAAAAGGGAAAAGGCTGTTTGCACAGAAGGTCCTAAATAAGTGTTTGCTCTAAATACTTTTTTTTAACATTATAAAGTGCTGCCCTGCAAACCTTGAGATCCTCTGGATCCTCTTTCCAGCAGTAAATAATGGAAGACTAGGTCTTCTTGCTAATAAGCACTGAACCTGAAACTTCGCTGCTGTTGGTACTGGTGCTCTCTACAGCCACAACAAGCATCTACTGCTGATTGCCACATAGATTGACACTTTTAAGACTGAAGCATGACGCTGATACATGTCTTACTTGTTTGGAGTTATCAGTAGTTGATTTTTTTTCCATCTCATGACATTCAGGCCTTCTGGGAGATACAATTTATGAGACATCAAGCAGTCCTGCAGTGGTGACAGAGACAGTCCGAAAGTATTTCCCAGAAACCTGGATTTGGAGTTTAGTACCTATAAGGTGAGTACCTTGG